CGTTGCCATGGCAACCGCTGCCAATCACTGTCAGCCCTGCCAATCAATACCGAGAACGTAAGGACGGTTTTACCACTTAGCCAGGGGGGGGGGGGGGGGGGGGGGGGGGGGGGGGAGAGGAGGGAAAGGGAGAGAAGGGGGAGAAAGAGAATTTTTTAAAAATCTTTGCAACTCTTAATCTCGCCACTTCTCCCTCTTCTCTCTCTCTCTGCTTTTCTCGAAGTCTCTGAGCTCCCTTCTTCCCTCTTCCCCAAATAAGTTGTTCCAGAAATTCAAAAAGCCAAGGGCATAGAGTTATTAAATGGGATGAGCAATTAAACGGGGGGTTTTGTTGGGAGATGAGAGGCTCCCCACTCCGCATGGAGGCCAATGGCCAGCCTGCAAGGAGAGGCCGAGGGCCAGCCGAGCTGGAACGGTTTGCACATGGTGTGCACGTCGGGCCTCCTCTTTCTGCCTATGTGAGCACTAATAGTGGCGAGGAAGAAAGGAGAGATGAGATCATGGGGCCCACCGCGCGCCGACCCTGGCCCTGCGGGATGCTGCGTCCGGGATCCCGGATTTCGGGGGTCATCTGGCGCCTGGGAGCCCGAATTCAGGACTGAGGGTGCTGAAAGCCCCTCTGGCCTGCCCCATCGTTGGCCACATTTACCCCAACTTCCTCTGCATTGGATCCAGCTCCTCTTTACCCTGCCCCTAGTCAAGAAGCCTCGATTTCCCCTATTGCCCTTTATTTTAAAATAGCAATAGAAATAACAGTACACTTCTTTCCATCTTAAAAAACAACCCACCTCTTTGTTTCCCCTCAGACTTCAGCTGCCTCCCCCAGGAGCTGAGGAGGATGTTCCAGAGCCCAGAAGCCTGGGAACCCTCTGGAGCACCCCACTCCCCCAGGTGCCCACTACCCCCACCCCTCTGAGGAGCTCTGGGCCTGCCTATCAGTCCCAGAAGGTCACTCAAACCTTGGAGGCCGCCCCAAAGAGGCAAATAGGCCTGAAAATTGCTTGTTTGCTCATATTACAAAGAAAAAATAATAAACCAATTTCTCTAAGGAAAGTGACATCACAAGCCTAAAACTGACCCCCAAAGGCCTACAAAATGGAGAGGGCCCTCCCTGCCTCAGGCCACTGCAGCCCCCAGGCCTGGCACGGGTATGTATTCTAAGGTATGTTGCTTTTAAGAAGATGTAATCAGCGTCTTGAGCTGGGCCTCCCTTTGTGAGGCCTCTGTGTAACTATGGAAGTGTGATTTACGTAGATTTGTCGGGGTCAGAGACGTCTTTCCCCTGAGCACTGTGTATATTTAGACAGGACTCGGTTTGGTGTTAAAAAGTGTATATTTTGAATGAGTTCACACACAGTAGCCAACAATGCCCACATTGTCGGTCCGTGTACAACGCGTATTGAAACCCAGCGTCCAGACTTCAACTAATCTGCCCTCAATAAAGCTGAAATAATTATCCTAAGCTGCCTTTCCAGAAGAAAAATCATTGAGGAATTCAAAACTTTTTTTTTTTTTAAAGATCTTTTCTACATTCCGATGCAGATCTGGGGGCGAGGCGCCGAGTCCATACCACTTTGGAGATCTCAATGAGGGAAGAGAGAAAGAGACGTTGAGAGAGAATTTAAATGGGAAACCTAACGTGACTGGGGCTGCGAGCGCCGCAGCCCCTAACCCCGAGCTCTGGCCCAGCTTAGGCTTCGACTCCAACAGCGCCCAGCCTCCCGGGCCCGGGAACTGCAAGCTGCGGTGGAGCTTCCACAGCGGCGGGGAGGCTCCGGGCTGGGCGAGGGGCCCATCCCGGCCCACTCAGCCGGAGGCAGCCGAGGGTCGCCCGTCCTAAACCCGCTGACGGAGGCAGGGAAATATTCGCCCAAGGGGAAGATCCGGCAAGCCCCACTTGGGGGGGATCTCTCCCCTCCTTGTATCTTCTCCCGGCCGGGAGTCCTTGGCTGCTCAGCTGCGAAGCTCTGGGCGGTCGCTCACTGCGGGCCCAGAAAGAGCCCTAAGGTTGGGACACAAAAACACACTTCATCTTTTCTTCCCGATCCCTTTCTCTCGTAGGGGAAGGATTATAGGCTGAGGGGTGGGAGGGGGAAGGGGCAGGAGGAGGAAGCGGGGGGAGGAAGGAATGAAAAAAGGTAGGGGAGTGGGTATTGTGCCGCGTGTGGGGGGAGAATTCCTACGGGTGGGTTTCCGAATATTGTGTTAAACTTTTTGAAAGCAGCTCGTGACCCCGAAACTGCATCCCCTGGAGCCGAGGACCCAGGCGCCGGGCGGGCGGGTGAAGCCAGTCAGTCCCCTCCCCATGCCCGCAATCCCCTCCTCCGAGTGGGGGCGACCTGGCCTCTCCCCGCCGCTGCCGGGCCAGGAGGGAGGGAGGCTGGGCAGGTGCCGCAGGCTCTGCCGAAAGCGCTGAAATCGAAAACCATCGCCACTCAAGAAGCATTGAGGCAAGTGGGGTTGAGACTCAGCTCGGCGACACCTCTGCCCACCCGCCGCACCCCGCCTGCCCGGGTGGCGGCCGCGGCTTGGGAGTGCAAAACCCGGCAGAGGGAGGCGGCCAGGCGGGCAGCTTTGTGCGCCGGGACCGGCTGGGCGCGGCGGGGCGGGCAGGCAGCCCCGGGCTGTCAGAGCCTCCCCGCAGAGCCGAGCTCCGCGCGGTCCACGCAGCCCACCTCGCTGCCCCGTTGCCGCCAGGGCCTCTCCATTCTGGCCCGAAGCACCAAGCCCGCCGCCAGGAGCCCGTAAGTTGAGAGTCCCGAGAGCTGGGGAGGGAGGCGGGGCGGCCGGTCCTCGGCGTGGATGGCTGTGCTGGCTCCGGGCGGAGCTGGGAGCGCAGACTCTGCAGGGTCTCTGTCTAGGACTACTGACCGTGCATGTGGTGGGGAGGGAGGCTGTGGAGCCCCAGAGCGTGCCCTCCCAAATTCCCAGGCTCTAGGCGTTGGGGAGGAGAGTAGGGGCAGAAGGACCTCGGGTTCTGGGGCCCAGGCCGCCTCCCCCGCTGCTCTAGGGGCCCCGAGGCGTTAGGCAGCTCGAGGGCTGGGAGGTGAGCCTGGGGGATGCCTGGAGGGGGTGGCGCGCAGGGAGCGACTGCATCTTGGGTCTCCCAGAGTGGGGACATTGGGATAGATAGGTCATCCCACGGGGCCTCTAGGTCTCCCGAAGCCTCTGACAGCTCAGACTCCAGGATCTGGGACACGGCGCCGCTATAGGCCAAGATCACAAAATTGCCATCATCGTCCCTGCTTGGATCACGGCCCAGGCCACAGGAAGTACAGTGTACAGGTGTGCGGGGAGAAAGGGCGTTTGGGCTGCAGAGTGTCCGTCTGGTACCAGGACAAATGTCAGTCCCAACCTCAGCCGTCTCAACTCCACCAGCAGAGGTGCCTGAGAGACTCCCACTCTCTCCTTGTTTCGGGTTAACAGGAAAGTCAAAGGGTCCCACAAGCCTCTGAGGAGGAGGACTTGAGGGCTGGGGCAGCTGCTGGGTACGGCCGGTATGTCCTGGGGGGCAACGCCCCTTCCGGCCCCCAGGATGTCGGGAGGCGGAGGCTGGCCGGGTAGCCCGCGGTCTGGGCCTCCCCGAAAGCTGCAAACTGAGGTCCTTGTCGCGGGCGGCCGAAGAGGGCGCAGGGGAGCGCAGCACGCAGGCGGGGAGGCCGCGAAGCCCTTCAAGGACCCCGATTACTTTCTTTGAATGAAAAACAACAACAACAACAACAACTTCTCCCTCCCCGCGCCCCCGCCCCCCGCCTTAGCCTCCGGGGACCCGCGCTCTGAGCAATTGTCGCCCGGGACAGTAAACACAGCTCAGTTGCCTCAACTTTCTCCGCACATAAAAGTTCCCGGCGTGCGGGGAAATTTGAATATTTGATCAGCCCCTTTGAGTGACCCTCATTAGCCGGGCGCCCTGCTAAGGCCCCGGCATTGCAAGAAAGCTGCTGGGCCCGGCATTTGTATGCCTTGTTAGCGCCGCTTAATGAAGCCGCCCCGACTGCTCAAAGGCGGCCTCCGTGGCCGGCGGCGGGCACCTCTCCGCACCCCGCTCTGCCTAATGAGCCCCACCACCCGCTGAAGGCCCCTCCGCCCCCCACATCCTCAAACAAGAGATCTGGCTCTGTCTTGGGCCACCCCACCTCCTACTGCCAGGCCCAGGAGAGTGAGCACAAACTGGGCCTAGCCGGCAGTGGTGACCCAGCGCCAAGGCAGAGAGGTGGGAGACTCGTGGGATGTGAGCCAAACAGGTTTTGCCGCCGCAGATTCTAGCCCAGGGAGGGCACTGCCAACCTCTCCCAAGAGGGCCAATTTCCAGTCAGTCACCCCAGTTCCTTAAAGAGGCATTTGCACTAATGTTGGGGTGGCAGAGGGCAGATGCCCAGGGGAGGGTCAGCTTTCCACCCGCCTCCATGCAGCCAGAGCTGTCGTGCTAGGGCTTGGATTTGAGAAGGGGTGGGCATGCTCAGCTCCTCAAACCATGATTACCCCACCAACCACAGACCCCCCAGCTAGTCAAACGTGATGACAGTTGGCGCTAGGGAAGGCAAGGTATCACAGCCTACCTCGTCCATCCCGCGCCTCCCCCATCTCTCAGTCTGTCTTTAATCATGCTTCCAGTCCTCAGAAGGAAGCACTCTCAGCAGGGCCACCTGGTCCAGGACCAACTGGTTGCTAGGGTGAGAGTGGGACTAAAACAGGCCTGAGGGAGAGGAGGAGAGGGAGTGCTTTGGAAGGAAGGAGGACCAAAGCTACCATCTACTTCCCCTTTTCTCCATGGGGCAGGTGACATGGTTGGCCAGCAAATATAAGGAACGCTATTAGAAGCCGCGCTTCAGTCCTCTCAAAGAGGTGTCAACTTCCTTCTCCCTCTGTCCTCTCTCTCTTCCGATGCCTTTTTCCCTGGACAGTTGTCACTCTAGGTCCCTCCTTACTCAGCTCTTGGGCTTTTAAGGGTTACTTTTGGGGGGATTAATGCACTAGGTTTGGGAAGCAGGCTGCTCTCAGATCCACACTCTGGGCCTTCTGGAGGTGCCCCCATCCAAATGCCCACAACCCATCAGATACACAGCAAGCTGGCCAGATTGGTAACCTCAAGACCCCGTTCCTGGGCCACCGCCTCCAGGAATGAGTGGCACACAAACAGCCCTCACCTTCTGTCAAAGGCCAGGTAGGCCCTGAGATAGCAGAGCTTTTTAAGTCTATCTGGTCTGCTCCTCTTCTCTTTCTCTCCTCCAGGTCGACTGGCATGCCCCACCCCATTTACCATCCTAAGACCCCCTAATTTGAGCTGAAACTGACGAACTCTAGGGATCATCTCTGCGCTGGGCAAGACGGTGCCACCTCCTTGATCCATCCGAAGGGCAAAGGTACGTACGACCGGGGAAGCGAGGGGTGGACGCTGCTGGAGAGAAAGGGGACCCGAGGCGGAGGGTGAAACTCAGCTCAGTGGCCCCAAGGCCAAGCCCACCAACTGCTCGGGGGAGGAGGCGAGGGGAGGGGGCTCGGAGTCCGCCGGCGTCGGTCGGGGCAGCACGGACCTGAGGCGTCGGGGTGGGGGGCTAGATCCAGAGGAGAGGGGCGGGGAGGCGGGGGTCGGGGGAGCGCGCAGGGCGGAGGGGGGGTGCTGCTCTTTAAGAGCCACACGGCTGGCAGGAGAAGCGCTGGGCCCGGTGCTGGTAGCACGCTGACCCCGAAGGGGAATTACCAGGAAGGGAGCGGCCGGGCTCCGGGGGCTTTGTCCGGGGGCGACCAGAGAGGCCGAGGCACAAGAATAAGTAGCGACGGCGTCATGAAAGGCCGCGCGGAGGCGGCAGCGCTGCTGCTCTTGACTTCTGAGCAGGGCTTAGAAAGCCTGCCCCGGCTTAAGCCGAACTGCTGGTGCCGGACCCTGAGCGCCTAGTCTCCGCGCTCTGAGCCTGCGGCCTTGGGGCCCAGGTGGCGTGGGATGAGAGGGGCACTGGGGTGGCGGGGGACCTGGCACAGTTGCTCGTGGCTCTACAGTGACCTGACCCTAAAGCAGAGCTGCGAGCCGGACGGGCCGCAAGGAGCACGGCCAGAGCAGGAATTTCTTTTTCCAACTTCGGCTTTCGGTTTTGTGTGTCCACCTCGCACAGCTCCGGAGCCAGCCGACCCCAAATGGCTTCTCAACAGGTGGCGAGGTAGGTCCATTTAAGAGTTCTGATTATATCGTCAGCCCCTCCCCAGCCGCATTCCCTTTCCCCTCCCAGTTTCCCCCCTGGCAGCTCCAAATTCCTTGTGCTCCTTCCGCGGGTGAAGGCGGGAGGAGGCAGTTGGGGGGTGAGCGGCGCTGAGCGGTGAGAGGACCCCCTCTCCCTGGGGGTCCTCGGGCTCCCAATTCCAGCCCAGGAAGGCTGGCAGGCGGCCCCCGCTAAGCTCCACCCAGTAGCCCCGGGTCCTACCATTCTTAGCTCGGTTGTGCCGGTGCCCCAAGGTGTAGGAGGAGGCACGGGGGGTGGGGGGGTGGGGGGGGTGGGGAGCGCGCCGCAGCACCTCAAGAGTGCAGGCGGCAGAAAGGGGGCGGAAGACCCTGTGGACAGGTAGCCTTTGTGTAGGGTTTTACGGCAGAAACTCAACTATACACCCTTTCTTATCGGAGACCCGGATCCTACCGGGGAAGCCCGCACCAGCTGTATAATAGCCTGCAGAAGAGCGTCTCAGCAGCCGGGGTGGTGGGGATAGGGTGGGGATAGAGTGAGGGAGGTGGAAAAGGCCAGAGAAGGGAGGAGCGGGAAGCAGAGAACGGCAAAGGGAGGAAATCGGGGCGTCCGAATGAAAAGTCGGAAAATGTCCTCAGAGCGCGCGGGAAGCAGAGGCGCGCGCGCTCGCGGGCGCACATCCCCTCTCTCACACACACACTCTCTTACACTCGCACTCACACTCCACACAGGTAGCCCACGCACGCCGTCCTTGGCAGTGCAGGGTCACAAGCCCCCGCGCCCAAGCAGAGACGGGAGCGGAGCCGCCCTCCTACTCCCTCGCTCCCCGGCCGCTGAGAGCCCTACCGCCCGGCCACCGGTGCCCTGAGAATGACTAGGGGAGCTGGGAGGGCCCCCAGAGCTGGGGCACAGGGAGGATCTTACCTGCAGAAAGGTAAGGGAAGCCGGGAGCAGGAAGCAGCGGCGGATAAATATTCATTAGGGAAGTGTAAGTGTCTCCTTTTAAACAGCGCGGCGCGCGCTCTTGCTCCTATCTCTCCCTCCCTCCCTCTGTCCTCTTGTGAGGTTCTCTCCCCCTCACGCTCAGTCTCTCCCCCCTCCCTTTTCCTGCGAAATGCCGGGTGGATCCCCGTCTAGCTAACCTGTTGGGAAGCCTGAGCCGGGCAGCGCCTCCACAGCTGTTTGCCTTCGCTCTTGGGGCGCACGTTCCCCATCCGCCCTCCCTCCTCTCGCCCAGCCCCTCACCCCCTCCTAAATTACTACATCATTAGCTTTATTTTCCGTTGTGTGGGGGGGTAGTAACGGCGCAGCCTGACCCACCTCCCCAAAGCAGGGCGAAAAGCCGGCGTTATGCGAGGCTGCCCAGCTCCATCCCCACCCCACATCCTCACTCACCATCCCCACCCACTCGTTTCTTTTTTCCCCCTCTTTCTATTTCCACCTCCATCACGTACCAACCCAACTCCACCATTCCTCCCTCCCCAGCCGCCGCCAATCCTGATCCCCAACTGGGTCGGTAGTGAGATGCCAGGTCTGTAGGTCCAGTGCGCCAAGCTTGGAACTTCACCCTGCACTGGATGGGGGTAGCCCTCTCAGTTCCCCTTTCCCACGTAGTTTTCGAGCTTGACCCTGAGTGGCACCTGGGCAGCTTGGGGCTTAGGATCACAACACGGGGACGCACAAGGGTCTCACCTCGCCAGGCCTCAGGACCCCCGGGCTTTGGCCCTTTAACTGGGCCTGTGAAACTGCATGGAGGGTGGGGGAGAGGTGGCCTCACTTGGTGCGAACGCGCAGGAAAGACAGACCGACCGACCTACGAACTGACGATGGCCTTTTACGGACAAACTGACCTAAAGTTAGCTGCAGGTTCGCATCTTTCTCACACTCACGAGAAACATCTACAGGATTCCAGGAACGCACAAGTCCCCGCAGGATCCCTCGGAGAACCGCTTCCAGTCGCACGCCAGCAAGAGCACGCCCCCTTCCCCATCCCCGCACGCCGGAGGCCAGCGCTCCCGCGGGCCTCGGAGACTAGACCGCGCGCGGCCCACACTGCGACTCCGGGAGGAGGGATACATAGCAAGACTGCCCCAGGACGACCCTGGCCACCCTTCTTGGTACACTTCCTTCCTGTTCCAGGCCCCTAGGTCACTCCCAAAGGTCTGCGGAATGGCGTGGCCCCAGGGTGCGGGGCCAGAACCCTCACTCCGACAGCCGGCCGAGCTCTGCGCGCCGAAGTAGGGGCGGGAGGAGGGGCCGAGGGGGCGGGCCCAGGCCAGTTCCCAGTTACAAATACAGCTGCTCCCGGGAGGCCAAGCAGGAGACTTTCGTCCCTAAACGCGCACATCCCTCGCCCGGAGGCGCCATGACTTCACTGTCGAGTCCCGGACCTTCCCCAGGATCCCGGGGCGCACTCGGCCGGCTGTTTGGTGGCCTGAGTGGGGGATACGGCCGCGATCCGCGAGGTGACCTCGCGATCCCGCTCCCTCTTTGGCTCGGCCTGGCCAAAATCCACCAGGCGAAATACCAGAGGCAGTTTCGACCCTTCTGAAAGGGAACGAGGCGCTGGAAGGTCGAAGAGTCTCTCTCCTCCTGGAAGGTGAAGAAGTTGGGGAGATGAAGGTGTAAGAGCGGCCTAGAGGGCCTTGGGGCCAGGATCTCGCACCCCACCCATAGCCCCGAGTTTGCACTTGCATACCTCCTCCCCATGCAGACCCAGGAGGTCGCGCACGTCCGAGCTCAGGCTTAAGCTGAGTCTCCTGACTGTGCATGGAACGTACCCGAATACACACGGGAGAATTAGAGGAACGTTAACAGCAGAAGTGAGGAAAAACGTGTCCACAGACAGAATTATTAGAATGGACGGGTGCGTACCCAGTTGTCCAGATGCAGACGAAAGCGGCAGTGCCCGCGCAGAGTGACCCCAGCCACGCGAGCAGATGTGCAGGAAGCCACAGGCGGGGAGGGCGGCGAAGGAGGATGCAGGCTGGGAGGCCAACAGTTTCCTGCCAGAGGGAAGTTGGCTCCCGAAGGAGACTTTGTTGAGGCGACTGGGTAAAAGGTTTCAGGTGAAGTCCTGGAGACTAGAAAGAGCACCTCATCCACCCCAAAGCCCACCCATTCACCCTCCTCTCAGCTGGCCTGGAGACACCCGGAAGAGGGCAATCCAGGAAAGACTCAGTTTGCCTGGGATTTAGTTATTATTATTGGTTTAGGAGATTGTGTTCTGAAGGGGGTGGGGTGTAGAGCATAGATGTCCTCACTCAATGCCCGGGGATTCCTGATTCTTAAGGAGAACGTTCAGCTCTAACCAGGGCTCAAGAAGCTGGCGGGTTCTTATTTCGCTCCTTTTATCCCAAATTTAACCGTTGAAAGAACCTTAGCTCAGCTGCACACCCGCCTGCCCTAGCTTCCATCACACTACCCTGCATTGCAAATAAGCCTGCAAAAGAACACTCCAGAGCAAGCTGAATTATTTGGTTTATTGAACTAATTTTCTTTGTGAGATATTGGGAAGTTGTTACCCCGTACTCCCTGGTCCCAGACAGAGCTCAGTATCCTGGCCAAGCTGGGGATTTGCAAAGACAGATTCCCAGAGTGGCTCTCCCGAAAGGCCTGAGCAAGTGCACAGGCTTGTTTGTACTTTCAGCTCAGTTTATCTGCCCAGACCTAGGGAACTTTCTAGACAGTAGCCACGATGGTTTTCCTGCAGAAGAGCCAGGCACACTGGATGCAATGGTGCCCTCCCTTCCACTTGGCCTCCTCCCCAACTCTCTTTCTGAAAGTAGAGGGTAAGTTTGGGAAGATTCTTTCAGACAAAAAAAGAAAAAAAGAGGACTTTCTGGGCCAGCAAGTCGGATGATCACCCTCCAAGGGGCAGAGGAAGGTATGTCTTGTGAAGAAGAGATGAACCATCCGGAAAACACGGCAGGAGAACATGGCTGAGCAGATGTAGATGCCCTAGAAACGGAGGGGGTGTGGGGGGTGAGGAGGGAAGAATTTCTTCCTCTTGGGGGCAAACACTGTATCCTTTTCCTCCCCCAAAGATACACTTCATTCCTTAATTTTAGCAAGAGTTTGTTCTTGTAGATGTTTTGAACAATAAAAAGCGAAAATCCCTTTAGACTCGATTAATCTTCCTTAGAAGGGCAGTTTCTTCCAAGACCTTTTTCTTTCCCCAGGTTTCTTTTTCCTTATTCCCTAAGAGTCCACCTGCTGATGCACAAAGAGGTGTGACAGCAAGAGAGACAAATAAGGAGACTGTCACTCCCAAACCCGAAGTGTAACTTCCATCCTCTGTTGCTGAGATTCAGGGCACAAAAAGTGAAGCTCTTTCCTTGGGGCCATTTCTCTCCACTTTGGGTGGTTTATTTAGAGCCTGTCCAAACAATAAATAACAATCAGCATTTTAGATTTGGAGATGTTTGTTATTACCAATTAATTCTTAAAACTCCATCTGATTTCTAAGACTGCGTGTCCATAGCTAAGCTCATTGCAACATTTATCACTCAAGCAGAAAAGCAGCTCGTTGTCTCATAGCCCCAAACGCCAGTGTACAGTGACTGGAGCAATTTTTTTCCTCCGTGTTTCCTAAACGCCCTTGTCACCTCTGCCCGAGCCACAGGGCTCAGGGCAAAACCGGGAAGGTTTGTGAGTCTCTTGATTCGGGCGCACTGTGTTAGCTTTTTTGTTGTGAGGAATTCTTAGTGATTGCGTGTTTTCCTTTTTTTTTTTTTGGCCCAAAACGAGCCGACTAGAGTTGCCCGCGTCTTCCTCAGCAGACGCCCGCCGCCTAGATAGAAGCTAACCATTTCCGCTGCCCGGGGCAAAGGGCTGAACTTTGTTGTCCGGTCCAGGGCTGGGGCGGGAAAGCGAGGGGCGGGGGGGTGGGTGTGCGGGTGGGGGAGGGGACAACCATCACCTTCAACAATAAAATAAAATAACCAGATACCCCTTTAATCCCTTCCATTAACAGTGTCAAGGCGCTAGAGAGGCCGTCTCACCTCCAAAGGTGCCTTCACCCCCGGAGGGCCCAGGCTTCCAGGCCCAGCCTTACACTGGGCCCGCGCGCCGAGAGGAGGTGCTCCGACGGCAAAAACCCCATACATTTTTAACTACAGTGATTACTAAATTAATAGCAGGCACTAAGACAGATGTCAAAACGTCTTGAAAATGTTTATCTGTGAATAATTGAGAAGGTGGTGGGACGCATTATCTGATTGTGTAATGAAATATGTATGAGGAACAGCTGTTTGCAACAGTCCCCTCCCGCCGCCTCCTCAGCCGGGGCCCTTCTCTTGGAAGCAGGAGTCGCGACGAAGTTGGTGGCCCACTTCCGTCCACTTGGGAGCCCGCTGGGTCCCTCGGGGGGCTGCTGGCGGAGCTGTGGCTCCAGCGCGCCCGGGAGTCACCCCCTTTCCTGACGGAGGACATCAGCCATGAGTCACCCCCCAGCCTTGCTCTTTCGGCTTTGGTGGCGGGTGAGGCTTCGCGGCGGCCGAGCTGTCCTTCGCGCCCTCGGGGCGGGCCGCGAGCTCGGCCTGCCATGCCCAAGGAGAGCCCGGGCGCGGGCGGCGGCGGCGGCGGCCGGGAGCCCTGGCGTCAAGCGGCGCGGCCTGCAACGAGGCTGGGCACGGGTCGCCGCGGGGTAACGGGGCTCCCGAGAGGGCTTTGTTCGGCGCTCCTGCCGCTCCGCGCACTTCCTCCCAGCCCCCGCCGGCGCCCACCCCGAGCCTCCGCGCCCGCCCTGTTTGTTTTCCCGGCCCCGCGCCCTCCACCTCGGCACGCAAACCGCCCTCGGGGCCGGCGCGGCGAGCCCTGGCCCCGCAGGAGGCGGAGGGAGGGCAGAGGGAGCTGTGGAGCCTCTCTGGACTCCTGGGCCAGGGGCTGGCCGGGCCGGGGAGGTGGCCTCATGGGGCGCATGGCCTCGGCGGGCTCCAAAGGGCGCTGGCGGCCCGCGCCGCCGCTCACCCGGCTGCCGGAGGGCCCCGGCCCCAGCCCCAGTCGCCAGGAGCGGGGCGGCGGCGTGGGGCTAGACGAGGACGCCGGGAGGGGCCCCAGCAGGCCTGGGCCTTCAACGCAGGGTCAGCAACACGGATACGCCCGATGACCCCCGTGTGGGCGTGCTGTCCCCTTCGCCGCATTCGGGCGCTTCGCGCGGCGATGGACCCGTGTCCCGGGCGCGGTGCTCGCCGCGGCCCCCGGGCTCGCCCGGCCATAGGCCTGCCCGCGCCCTTCCGCCTCTGCGGCCTCCTGGCTCCTCGCCTTCCCGAGCCCGGGGCCCCGTCCCCGGTCCCTGGCGCCCAGGAAGCCTCGTCCGGCACCCTCCGGCCGCGCTAGCCGTTCCGCCGCCGCCGCGCCGACCGCCCCGGGGCTGAGAGCGGAGGAGCGAAGTCCGGCTCCGCGCACCGAGCGTCTACGCGGTTTCCACTAATGACTCGCAGTCAAGATGCGCTCGGGCGTTATTTCTCGAGCATCCCCCCTTTCACCTAATCCCTTATGCTTTTATTCTAATCCTACACATTACGGTTAATCTGTAATGATACCGCTTCGGAGGAACCTGTTGCATACGAGGCACGGCAATTTGTAACCTTGGAAACAGTTTTAAATAAAGATTATAACACTGATGTCAACTGTGTTTATTCTCCGCGCGGGGTGTGGGTTGGGGGCCTGGCAGCCCCTCGGCGGAGAAGAGGAAGTTTGGAGGGAAGGGAGCGAGGCGCGTGGGGCAGAGTGGAGCGGGCAGGGGTCCGGACGGCAGAGAAGCAACCAGAACCCGCTCCAGTTCTCCCGTCCGGCGGCTTTTGAGTTTTTCATTTTGAGAAATCGCGTGGTGTTAAATCGGAGGCGTGGGGAGAGAGGAAGCGTTTGCAAAATTGAGGAAAACTTGGTGCACTTGAGCTACTGTGTACTGCGAATTAGCATGCAGCCGGGCCCTACGCCCCTGGGACGTGGAAGCCGCTGAGAGCTGAGAAAGGGCGCTTGCAGGACCCTTCGGCTGCAAGAAGGCAGAGCAGCCTCGGTACCGATCGCTCTGGCTCCGAGCTTCCTCCTCTATTAAACGCACAGGCCACAGCAGCAACCACCACCAAAAATTGTTCGCACGCCTAAAGCAAAATTAAACATAATTGCTTTTATTTATCTATTGCTTTTATATCATTAAAATATTTTTAGTTACATTGTATAAAATAGCATCCACGCTGATTATTACCTGCCATATCTGTTGATCTGCTCCTTGTGTATTCAGCACAGCAATATTAACAATTAAGAAAAAAGCACATCTTATATATTGTATCTGTCAAGATATGTTACAATTTCCATTAACAAAAAAACATTATTCTTGTTGAAGACGCTCTGAAGCATATCTTTCCTGAACACTTTATTAATAATCATAGTTGTCAAAAAGAATTAGATATGCATAGATTGCAGATGCAAAGGAAATATTAGATGCACAGAATAAAATATACAGTGGGACTGAGGCATAACTATTTTTCTTTTTTAAATAAATTTTTACCGAGGTGAAAAAAAACTGAGCTATTAAGCTTACTTAAAAGATGGCTTTGTTGGTTTAATTATACTGTAGTTATTTTATAAATATGTTTCAAAGGAAGCTTGCCATATTGCATGTCAATGAGGACTGTAAAGAAAAGCTCACAAAAGCTAATGCATACCAAATACCAAATTTTAGTTATTAGCATTCCTATTTATTACAAACTAAGGGAACCTATTAACAGACAAGAATTTCTATTTAGCTAGCATTACAATGTTTGGCCATTAAAATAAAAAGGGCAAAGTATATACGTATTTTTTTTCCCTTGTAACTATACGTTCTTTTTGCCCAGAAGCTCATGAAGAGATGGGGAGATGTTTCTGATTGGGGAAACACAATTCTACAATGGGAGTGGGCCCGAGGGCCCAGAACCACTATTTTTACTTATCTAGCTTAATGCTATTCATTTGGAAGCAAGAACAGTGCTGAGTTGGGTCTGCAGCTTGCTGAGAGCTTCGTAGTAACCACAGCCTGCGAAGGGCCCTTTGTCTTTAATTTGTGTCCTGAGCATATGCAAATTATTAATTGTTTTTCCTCTTGGGGAGGGAGTGGATAACAACAGTAATACTGCTTTTGTTTGCATGTTAAAATTTCCTTAAATGCTCCCTAAACGGGTACTTCTCCCAATGCGGATTCCCCTAGGAGGAAATCCCACCAAGACGGAGAATACAAGCATATTAATTCTAGAAACACGCACGTATAGATTTGTGATCGTTTCAAAAACCTTTTCCTTTGAGCAAAATCGGCAACCCTGCACTCACACCAGAAGTAAATGAGTATATAAGTATATTTTTCTGAATGCCAGTTTGAGAGGAAAAAACTTTTCAATCATTTTATATTTAGTAGAAACTTTAAAGATCTTTTCCTTCTTAAAATCAAGGCAGATTTTTTTCCTAATTGGGTAGAGAAACAGTAAATATTACGGAACTGAAATGAAATATTTGAAATGATAAGAAAGGGTTATTTTGAATATTATTAGGTAAGATTCTTTTAAGTGCCCAACAGAAAAAAAATAATAGTTATGTGAGCTTGTTGAGCTCTACGCATTTACCAAGCCACTCGAAGCACAGGTTCTTCTGGCCTGACGGTGGACTCAGACACGGTGCATTCTGCATGCTCTGGGGGAATTTTGCATTAAAAGGACTGAAAATTTCTAAGGCGCTTCCCTGAAAGGCCTGTATAAAAACACAGGTATCAAAAGGAAGGAAGGGAATTCTTGAATTCCTGATTTTAAAAAAGATCTCTCCATCAAAAGTTATTAACATTTGCAAATCCCATGCAAAATCTTGGTTTTCAATAGTAAAATTCATTGCATGTGTTGGTGGGGGTAGGTGTTGTCTCTCTTGTAACTACCTGGACAGAGATAAAGGAGGGAACGTGTAACAATTCCTACACTCCAAACTTCTCCTCTGGGGAAATAGCGAAAGTCAGTGTATTAAGAAGGAACATTGTGTACCTCGATGCTGGCAGTTCTAGAAAAATAAATGCGAACTCTCTCCATTTCTATCCCATTTTATCTGGACGAAATGCCAAGCCCGAAGTCTCTAAAGCATATTTGATACAGAGGTGGGGAAAATTGCTTTAAATACATAAGTTCATCAAAAAGTGTGACACTCCCCAGCAAACGCCAGATCTACACAATTATTTGGATAATTCCGCTCACCCCAAATTAACCCGTCTGATTTTGTCTCCAGTGCTGAGAGTGTCCATGTTACGTAGAGGGGGCCCCCCACTTGCCTCTCCCTCATCTGCATCTTTCCTGGTCAGTGAGTGCTGAATATTACCAATAGCCAAGGAAGGGAAGGCTGTTTCCCATATATTTAAACCAAGGTGGTTAAATCTTAACATGAGTCAAAGATAGCTCTGCTTGCTCTTGCCCTAAATCCTATTTCAAAGTGCAGACTAGGGGAGACCATCTCCACGATGCAGAGATAAGTAAGATGGAGACCCTTTTCTCAGAAAGCTGATATTTGTTAGGGGACAGGAATGTACACAGGTCAGGACAACACACAACAGTGTTGTTCTGCGGGTGTCCCGGCTGGGAGCACACAAGTGAAAAGCATGGGAGAAATCTCAGATAGCTTCCTGGAAGAGGCGGGGTTTGAGCTGAGCCTTATAGGTTGAGCATGATCAGAGATGTGAGAGGAGTGACACGTAAGCAAAATGGGTATCCAGTTAAGGTATAGTGACAGATCTGACATAAGGTAAGCATTTTAAAGTGATTATTTAAATGAATGTGTGAAAGTAGTTAG